TGGGGTTTGGGTTTTTTTTTTTTTTTGACCGGACCTTTTTCCTCCCTGCAGAGAGAAAAGTCTGTACGACTTAGGTCGACCCCTCATGAGCATAGTAGCCGCTCTGCGCCTCACTCCTCGTGTTCATTCTCCCCTGTTCTCCCTCGTCCATCCGGGCTCATTGGCGTTACTGGTTCTCCACCGGTCGCCATCGCGAGGTAGGTCTCGGCTCTGGCTACCAAGGCGGCCTCGTACCTTTCTTTTTCTTCCATGGCCTGGATCTCCACCATGTCAAGGGTGTTGATGGTCTCCTCCGCGATCGCCTGCATGGTTCCTGCCTGGTTGATCTCCTGCTGCTGGATCCCCTCGTGCAGTGCCACGTTTTCATCCAGGTCGTTGTCAGCGGCACTCACCTCCAGCTGCGTTCCCAGAGTCCCCCATTCTCCCCCTGCATCTCGGGCCTGACAAGCTTCGCTCGCCACTTGGTTTCGCAGCTCCAGAGTGGACAGCAGTATTGTCGGTGCATCGCTGTCTTCCGGCTCCGCTGTCGTGACATTCGGTTCCCTCGTTGCTGGGGCCGCTGCCGATCCCTCAGGCTCGGTGTTGTTTGGAGGACGCCCGTCAGGTAGTAGATTGATAGAGATCGTCACTGGTTGTTCCTCCCTCCATCTCACAGGTAGGGTGGCACTGGATGATGCTGCACCTGAGGACACCGTGACTTGCACCCTCCTTCTCATCTTCGGACCCGCATGGAGCTCGTCCCACATAGCCCAGTCATCCCACTGTTGGCATCGCTTGGCTGCTGCCTGTCTTGCCCTTGTCTGCACTTCCGCCTCCTCAGACTTCTCCCTCATGTACTCCCGAAGCCTTTCCCTGTCCCCCTCCAGGTCTTTTTCCTCCTCCAGGTCATGTTCAATCTCTTGTTGTTCAGCCTCGGTGAGCTGTCGGAGTGGGGCTGTTCCAACCTGGTCCACATCGAACCTAAGCGCCTCCAGCAGATCCGCCCACCACCCTTCGACAAAGTCCACGTCTCCGCCTTGAAGAGGTTCTGGTAGTACATCGGGGTCCACATGACTCGCCAGGGTGGCTTCGGCGTCGGTCACCATTTCGTGTAGTCCTGCCCGGCTGTCAGCCCCAATGTGGAACTTGTGAGTCAGCCGTTCCAGGAGGACCCTCGCCCTCCTTGCAGCCACCGTGGGAGCCATCTCGCTGAGCCTGTAGTTTAGTCCCTGCAGGGCGATTCTTGTGCGCGTTTGCTCCCTGAGAAATCGTTGGAGTGTCCTCTGCATGAGCTGGTGGTCCTCTATGCCTTCACTCGCCCCCTCGCCCATCGGTACTGCCACGATCTCGCCATCAGGTAGTCGTACGCATCTGCACCCGTAGCCTCCACCTTCCTGAATCGGCCTGACCCACTGTGCAGCGAGCATGCCCATCGGGTGTCGTAGTTGCACCGAGGGCTTGTTATTGATCCGCCACCAATGCCTCCTTGCTTTGGTTTGAGGCTTGCCCGTGTCCCCTTGCATCCACATTTGCCATGTTTTCTCCTCCATCTCCAGGACGATCATCATGGTCAGGCCGTCCGGGTGCGCCACCACGTCCTCGTCCAGCGTCATGATGCCCCCTAGGAAGTCCAGCAGGGTGGTCGCAAAGATCCCGTACTCCTCGTCGCCTCTTTCTTCAATCCTGCCTCGCAAGGCCTCGTAGCGCAGGTAGCACGGCTGGTCCTCCAAGGCGCATGCGCGAAGCCGGGCAGTTGTCTTTTCCCACCACACTTGTCTGAGTAGGTGGTCTCGGTTTTCCAGGCATGCCTTCTTGGCTCCCCGCCACGCGCTTCCATAGTGCTGATTCCAGCACATTTGTTCTTCATCCGCTGGCCTCTTCCTTGAGTTGAGGTGTCCCTCAATTTCTGTCGTCCTTGAGTTGAGGTGTCCCTCAATTTCTGTCGGCCCACTGCTCCTTGCCTTCGCCGATGAGCTCGAAGAGGATGATGCCGAAGAGGAGGATGCCGAAGAGGGTGAAGTCAAGGATGTTGGTCTCCCTCTTTGTACCAACGCCATCTCCTCCTTGCACACATCTTCGCTTTGGGCGTTTTCTTGTAGCTCGGCTGCCACCTGTACCCAATACGACGACTCAGAGGACTCTTCGTCCAGCACCACTTCCACCACCGAGTCATCCCCCTCGATGGCATCCGGGTCTTCTCGTATTGTCCCACTGTGCGATGCCCACGGGGTAGCACTCGGTCTTGCCGAAGACGCCGCAGCCGGAGTTGCTTCTGCCTCCCTCGCCCCATCACGTGTCCCTTCTGTCATGCCCGCGGTCCCTCGTGAGGCGCCGTGACTGCCACTCGGCAGGTCGCTTGAGCTCCCTGTCCTCGGGGTCATTCCCACTGCATCCAGCAGTTGCATCACTTCATCCTGTATTTCATTCAGGCATGTAGGGAGGCTCCGGCGCATCAACATTCGGGACCTTGATGTCATACTTCTCAGCGCACTTTGTATGCGCTCTTGCATCTCCTCCGGTATCATAGTGGGCAAGCTGTTCCCTGGTTCTTCTGTAAATCCGAGGAGGCGGAGCCATTCGCCCACAGCATCATTCGTGCACGTGGGCCCCCTGTTCGGTGCTTCAGCTGGTTCCTCCGGTGGATGGTCAAAGACTCCCTGTGGTGTCAGCCATAATGTGGACGTGGTAACCCTGACTGCTCCATCACTTCCTGATGTCACTGGCCTTGTTCTAGCCCCTCCAGTCGTCCTAGGCGATCTCGACGTCTCTCTGCTCGTGCCCACCAGCGAGAACTCTTCCTGAGCCTCATATGGTTCCTGGGGTACTTCCCCAGTCGTCCTCGGCAATCTCGATGTCTCTCTGCTCCTCTCCACCAGTGAGAACTCTTCCCTTTCAGCCTCTCCATCGCTTCTCCTTCGCACCCTTCTCCCGGTTTCCATGCTTGATTCCCGCTCGCTGGCCCTCCTGGCATTTTCTCGTGCATTGCTTTCTGCGAAGCTGGAGTGAGCATCTCGGAAACCCTGTAGAGCAGGGGACGGGGAGTGCAAGTCGGGAGCGGCGTTCTCTTCCTCGGGCTCCGGAGCCGTCGGGTGATGATGCCGGCGTCTTTCCCGTAGAGTTCTCTCGTGTGCCTGCCGGGCCCATAGCCGCTGGAGGTTCCTCACTTGGGCAGCGGCCGCGTTGAAGATGCCGGTCTCCAACTGCCTGGCCGTATTGAGCCACTCCTCATCGATGTCGTACCCTCCTTGTCGACGATGGCGGATGATGCACAGGTGGCACACACTTCTGGCTTGCACAGCAGCTTGGCGGTAGCAGCGATCGATCAGGATGTCCCCCCTTGGTGCTTCCAGAAGCTGCCAGACCTGTCGCGCGATCTCTCCTGCCGTCTCTGGTTCACCTACTTGAACCAGCTGCCTGAAGCACGTCTCCATCTCGTAGACCGCGTCATCCCGAATTCGCACCCAGTTCTCGTGTTCTTGCTCATGTAGTGGAACGTACCTCGACTGGGAGCCCGAGGTCGTTGTCTCAGAGCTGGCGGCATTGCTCTGTGTACTCACGATTGTCTCTGCCGGTACTGAGGTTGGTGTTCGCGTCTGTACATCCGTCATCACGACGGGGTCGCCGTCACCACTTTCCGGTCTCTCGCCCGTCACGGGCATCTGAGATGTTACACATGGAATAAGCAAGCAGGCCCAAGTAGCCAGCAAGCTTCGAGTCATACGAAAGGCTCCCATGGTCGGTGGCAAGGTTCTGCTTGAGCTCATGGGCTGAGGGGTACATCAGCAGGCTGTGCTTCATCAGCCCCTCATCAACAAGCATGACCTACAAGTCCTTCACACTGATCTGTCTTCCGGAAGTCCATGGCACATCCATTCTGTTCACCCATTCCCCAACCAGGCCTCTCCAATCCTCTCTGTTTCTTGCTTTCGCCCTCCATTCTTGACCTGCCACAACATCCATCTCCGCTTCCTCTAACGAACTTCTCGCATAGAACCTACCGGGGTGTTTGTAGCCGTCGGGATTTGCTTTCTCTTTCACCCACCACTCACGATTTCTAAAATTGGAAACCAATGAAGGTGCCAGTGGGGGAGAACGGTCTGAACCTCTCGCAACATGGCCCTGGTACAGCCAAAACCGCTCCAGCCATAAGGTGGACCATCTTTTGTGCCCCCCTCTCCACAGGGAGAGCCTCGCTGCCCGGAAAACCCGCACCCTGTGTTCCAGCCACCCCTCGTCAGGCTTGCGCTTGAGCTTCATCATGTAAACCACCAATTGAAGTTGGAAGCTGTTGAGGAACTGCTGACTATTACGGTCAGGGAAGAAAGCTGCCACACACCACAGTCCTGCACCTGCACAAACCTTTTCAAGAAGCTTAAGCCTTGAAGCAAGTGTGGCACTCGATCCAAGTAAGTGGTAGCAAGACCAGAATTTGTCTCTCGCTCTCGCCAACAGCGAACTCAATAGCTCGCAGGCTGTGCCTTGAACCGTGAAGTGCATCCCCATGATATTAAGGTGGTTGTCCGACTCCAGCACCGTACCATGTACCTTCATTCTGTGGCTTTGGGAGCAGTAAGGCGAGCAATAAAGTTGGCATTTGCTGAGGTTCACTTTCAGGCCGCTTTCACGTAACACAACCATCCACTGTTCAAGTCGTTGCGTCAACCTTGGAAGGGAGCTTTGCCACAACGTGGCATCATCAACAAACATGATCTCGGTGAGTTTCAAGCCTTTGAGTTCCGGGTCTTCCCTAGGCCATGCGTACCTGGATGCCGTAGTTTCCAAGGTCATTTCCGCTAGACAAGAGAAAAGATGAGGACTTTCAACAGAGCCTTGTCTGATCCCGTTGTTCAGCTGAATGGTGGAGTCTCCCCAGGCCGTGTGTAGGTGAGCCTCCGATCTATTTAGAAGCCTCTGCCAACATCTGGCCTCGTGGCTTCTTCCGATCTTGGACTTGATATAAGCCATGAGGGACACCTTTGACACACAGTCGAACGCCTTCTCCAAATCAATCTTGACAAAGCTGATCCCCAGCTTCCACTCCCTCTCTACCCCCATCAATTTAGCAATGGTGTGGATGTAATCAATGGCCTGTTTGCCTTCCCCAGCACACTGCGCAGAGCCGATCGACATAATCCCTCGCTTCGTCCTGCCCAACAGGATCCGGCAGAAGCTCTTAGACATTGATGACGAGAGGCATATCGGTCGCACCTGTTTCGGGTGATTAGGGCGAGCTGTTTTGGGTAGAACGATCATGAGCGAGCTGAACCAATCCTCAGGAAGCTCACCGGTTTCCAGCATCTCGTTGAACCAATTGAGGATCGCACTCTCACCTCCCGGAGCTTGAAGAATGCCTTCTAAAAGCTCTTGTGATGTCCCGTCCTCACCGGTACTCTTTCCCTTTTTTCCCGCCGCTGTGGCTTCCCGCAGTTCCTCGGGTGTGATAGGTTCAAAGGGGGTGTCCGGGAGGAAGTCAGTGAGATCGGGGGGCTCGTTTCCGTAGATACCCTGCAGGTGATCGTGGATAGCCTTGTGTGGGTCCCCTTGTTGACTCTCGGCGAAGTGACACTCCCACTCCGTTCCCGGCCTTTTCTTCAAGCTTTTGTAGTCACACCATCCACCTGAGGTCGCACTCCGAATCTGCTCTTCCCGGAAGGCCTGCTTGGCCTTCTTCCTCTCAGCGAAAGCTTTCTTCCAATCCTGCCCAGACCTACCGTGTCTAGCCATCTGAAAGAGAGTCCTCACCGAAGCCGGATCCTGGTAACCCTTCTTCTTGGGCACACCCGTGTGCTCAGCTGCCAATCTTTTGGCCTCTCTTTGATCGAGTTCAAGAACCTCCGGAATGGGTTTGGTAAGTACTCGCGGTCGAGTGTTCGGCCGCCTCCTATTTCGGAGTCCTGTAAAAAGGAGCTCAACCGTCAGCAGCTCGTGGTCAGTCCCCAAGACCTCAAAGCTATCCGCATGGATGGTTACTTCCCTGGTGGTGACCCTCGCTCCCGCAAGAAAGTCAATGGTCCTGCCCTGCCTTCCAACCTGTCTCGGTCTGCTTGTCACCTGCATCACGTGGTCTTCACCTGGTGGCAGCACTTCCAAACCTCGCGAGGCCAGTTGGTTGAGGAACTGGTTGCCCTTTCCACTCCTAGAGGCAGCTTGCAACCCCTTGTTCTCCGTGTTCACCCAGTGGTAGGGCGTGTTGAGGTCAGCCCCAAGGATCACGGGAAGCTGGGTGGCGGGAAGTGCCTCCAAATGCGCTGATGTTCTCCGATGATGTTCATGTTGGTTGCAGTCTGGTTTGACGTAAAGAGAACCAACCCACATCTCCTGGCACCTAGTCACATGTCTGAGCCTAAGCCAAATCCCCCATTCCGAATGGATTTTCCTCATCACCGTCCATGACTTTTCCGAAAAACCTATTGCATTGCCGCGCCATTGGTTTTCACTTCTGTGCGACAAGAGCAGGAGCCCCTCGTAACGATGGCTTTGCCATCCCTGTTCTCCTCTGGGAATTTCCTGCAATACCACAATATCATCTCGATGAAGTTTCTGCATCCCTGCCTCCTCGAGAGCCTTGGTGAGGTCACCGATTGCCACCCCGCCAATGTTCCAATTCAGCATTCGAATTAACGTGTTATCCTCGGTGTCCGGTCAGAAACGGTGGTCCTCCACCATCCTCTGTACAGTCTCTTCCGGTACCCTGGCTTTACTGGCAAGGCCCTTGACATCGATCCACCCCGGTCCTGCTTTTGTAGAGATCTCCATGGCGTGGTCCGGCTGCAGCGGCTTGCCCATTCCGCTAAGCTGAAGGTCCTCAATCCAGGACGTCCCCGTGGAATACTCGATGTCCAGTTCGCTTTTCAAGCTTGGCGCCTGTGTCATGACCACCTTCTTGACAAACCCCGGTAGAGCAGCCTTGCCTCTCTCCTCCACTGTGCGACTGAAGGAGGCCCAGAGATGTTTCTCTGACCCAGCGAGGCTGGCCTTCGCCCCGTTGATTGCAGTTATGACTTCCAGCATTCTCCCCCTTGTGTCCGAGGGAGCTTCATTGGTCCTTTGTTTGAAGCCACACAACGCAACCGATCTCCTGGGTCCTGTAGTAAAAGGTTCCGAGTCGAGGTGCCCCCGAAGGTGTAGATGGTCCAAAGCAGCCCCGAGTTGGTGGAGCACTACGTGGCGTCTTGTTTGTCTCTCCCACCCTCCGAACACGAGGGTCATCTTCTTTGTGTCAGGAAGCATGTTTCCGCCTTCGCCTTTCTCCAGCCTTGCGATCCTCTCTCCGAGCGCCTGGAGCTTGTCCGTGATGGCCTCGCTCTTGTCCTGCTGCTCGAGCATCTTGGCTTCCATGTTTTCAATTCTTGCATTCTGCCGAGCTTCGAGCTGCGCAAGGGTGCTTCTTTGCGCTTCCATGATGGTGGCACTCTGCTGGGCAAGTAACGCCTGAATGGCCTCAAGAGTCACCGACCCTTCCACCGGAGGCGCATGCGGAATTTTGACCCCCGTCCCCGTGCCTCTGTGCCTCTTCTGAGGGCTGCTGTCCAGGTCACTCTCTCCCTGCGGCACCGGGATCTGGCCAGGAAGCCCCAGTTTCATATCTAGCTTCTCTCTTCCCTTCCGGCAAGGACAGGTAGGCGGTGATCGCACCGAGGAGCCCCGTGTCGGCCTTCTGCGAGCCCTGGATCTTTAACCGAATCGTTACCTGGTGGGCGTCCCGGGCCTCGAGCACCCGCACACCTTATCCTGGCTGCCCTGGATCGCCTCACGGAGAGCAACGCCGACCACAAACCCCTGGTGCCCTGCAAGACACAGCTACCTCCGGGCCTTGAGCCAAAATGGCTACGGTAGGGTTTAGGGTTTGGGGTTTAGGGTTTAGGGCTCACTTTTCCTTGGCATTCATCCGGGAACCCCAAGAGAAAAAAGTGCAAAAGGGTTACTTTTGCGGAACGCTGAACCTTAAACCCTAAGCCCTATGTCCTAAATCCTAAACCCTAAACCCCAAGAAGCCCTAGATACGCTCGGCAAAACCCGAGACCTCCAGCCAGCTAAACAATGGGCTTCTGCATGACTTCTTGTAGACTGTTTTTGGGCAGTTCTCTAAATTAGGGTCCTTATTCAGGTCCTCAAAATAATGCGGCACCGTATGGAAAGGACTCTAGAAGGGACCCTAATTTAGAGAACTACCCATATGATGGGTTACCGATTTTTGCTGTCACCGGAGAAGCCTAAACCTAAACCCTATTACCAATGCTACACTTAAAGAAACTCCTACAGATCCCTCAAAGGATCCTTTACAGGAGCCCTTATAGACCCCCTATAGATCCAACCCTAAACCCTAAACCCTACACCCTAAAACCTAAATTCCTACACCCTAAACCCTACACCCTAAACCCCTAAACCCCCTACACCCTAACTCCTACACCCTAAACCCTAAACCCTAAACCCTAAATCCCTAAACTCCTAAATGCCTAAACCCTAAACCCTAAATCCCTCAAACCCTAAACCCTAAATCCCTAAACCCCTAAATCCCTAAACCCTACACCCTGAGCCCTAAACCCCTAAACCCCTAAACCCTAAACCCTTAAACCCTAAATCCCTAAACCCTAAACCCTAATTCCCTAAACCCTGAACCCTACATCCCTAAACCCCTGTAGATCCCATCAAGCAACCCGACTTCTCCTGCTCCTCGGCCTCCTCCTTGTCCTTCTCTTGCTCGGTGTCGTCCGCGGCCGGTGACCTTCCGGTAGCTGGCTTTGGATTTGCCGGGAGATCCCATAGGTTACCGTTTTAAGGGTTAGGGTTGAGGGTTTAGGGTTTAAGTTTAGGGTTTAGGGTTTAGGGTTTAGGGTTTAGGGTTTAGGGTTCAGGGTACCCTCGGGTCGCAACCTACTTTTTGTTGTACGGTTTGGGGTCACAGGTAGGTGGGGTTAAGGGTTTAGGGTTGAGGGATTAAGCCGAATACCTACTGCTTTCAGGGCTGGTAGACCACAAAATCTAAGGAGTCATGTCCCACCATTTTGTGGGGTTTGGGGTCACAACTAGGATTCAGGACTTTGGGGTTGCTGTAAGGAGGGTTCTTCAGAGGTTCCTTTCGGGGCTGTTTTAGGACATCCTATATCAGGGGCACCAGGGAGTCGCCCTGCGACTAGGTCGGCGGGACTTCACTCTAAGGTTAGAAGGCCTTCCTAGGGACCCTTAAGGGTACATGTAGGATATATAGTAGGTGTATCAGGATCCCAGGGTTACGGCCCCTTCTAGGGGCCCATGGCTTCAACCTTAGATTCACAGGGAGAGAAGGCGCATTTTTTCGCTACACCATTCGAAACCTGTGTTGTTCCGAGAGCTGCAACCTGGTCACAAGGCTGCGTGTGCAGCTGCAGCTGGCCCGCGACACGGGAATACCATGGCCGAAATGCCTGTTTTGTTCGGAGAGGTCATGATTCTGGACGTGAGGTGGTGAGCTTTGCCCCGGCCAAGGATGGGACACTGCCATATCACCAGTTTGTCCGAACTGGTCTAGAAAGCGGAGCCTCAGCTTGTCTGGGACACGTGCTTCAGGATACTTCTGCCGACCTTCTCGGGCCGGACCCCTAAACCCTAAACCCCTAATAAACCCTAAACTCCATCAAGACAGTCGTTTCCCCGTTTATGTCCATTGTCGCCTCACTCGCCGCGCGTGGGACTACAGCTGGAGGTCGCTCTCCTGAAGGCTCGGACTTCAGTGTTCCGGGTTTAGGGCTTAGGGTTAAGGGCTAGTTAAAGGCCTAGGATGTAGTGTTGAGGGTTTAGGGTTGAGGGCTCAGGGCTTAGGGTTTGAGAATTAGTAGGGTTTAGGGCTTAGGCCTGAGGGTTTCACACCAGAACGCCGTGGCAGCTTTGCGGTTGATTGCTTAGGGTTTAGCTTAGGGTTTAGGATTTTAGGGTTTACGCTTTTGGGTTTAGGATTTTAGGGTTTACGCTTTTGGGTTTAGGATTTCAGGGTTTACGTTTTTGGGTTTAGGATTTTAGGGTTTACGCTTTGGGCTTTAGGGTTTTAGGGTTTGAGGTTCAGGGTTTGAGGTTTAGGGTTTAGGGTTTAGAGTTTGGGGTTTAGGGGTTTAGGGTTTAGGCTTCGGGTGCAGCTGGGAGTTGCATAGCAGAGCGAGCAACCATCTAGCCCTCCAATCTTCAATCTTCAT